TCCTTTTCCTCAAATGTGATAATTGAAAACAAATTCCAGCAACTCTGATTTTTTCTGAGGACAGTTGATTATTGTTTGGAAAATTGACAGCATGCACTAAAAACTGTAAACAAGTTTCTGAACAGCATTCTTGGAACCAATATCCCTGCTGATTAGAGCATGTAATTGCTCTTCCAATTCCAAACAAGGGATAGTTGTGTAAAGATGGGAATATGTCAAGTGTTTTCTTTACATTTGAAAATATTTTTCGTGTGAGAGTTACTGGGGACATGGTAGTCAGTGAGCTGTGCATCTGCAACATGAGACCTACTGGAAGCAGGATTGAGTCCTGTTTGTTCAGGATATTTGTTCAGATGAAACAAGGTACGAAATGAACTCTTGTTTTGTTGTGTTTTGGTGGGAGGAAATGAGTTTGGAGTAAGTGCAGTGTACGTGAGAATATGTGTGGTTCATCAAAATATTGCCCCAAGCAATCTGCTATGTTAAAGGTATATTATCATGATTAGAGACGACTAGTTTTGTTGTTTGCCTGTATGGTGAATTCTGTGGAGTGCTCACAAAAGGAGCTGCTTTCAACATATTATGCCGATAATCATGATGGCTTGATTCCATATTGGAAATGTTTTATGAGCTGACAGATCCCTATTCTAGTCATCACAGAAACAGGGTGAGCTTATCTCCACCTAATGCAGCCTGAAATTCAGACATTACAGTATTGTTTGGTAGTGCTAGACCAATACAGCGTTGTTTGGTGATGCTAGGACAGTATATTGCTGTTTGGTGATGCTAGGACAGTATATTGCTGTTTGGTGATGCTAGGACAGTATATTGCTGTTTGGTGATGCTAGGACAGTATATTGCTCTTTGGTGATGCTAGGACAGTATATTGCTGTTTGGTGATGCTAGGACAGTATATTGCTGTTTGGTGATGCTAGGACAGTATATTGCTGTTTGGTGATTCTAGGACAGTATATTGCTGTTTGGTGATGCTAGGACAGTATATTGCTGTTTGGTGATGCTAGGACAGTATATTGCTGTTTGGTGATGCTAGGACAGTATATTGCTCTTTGGTGATGCTAGGACAGTATATTGCTGTTTGGTGATGCTAGGACAGTATATTGCTGTTTGGTGATGCTAGGACAGTATATTGCTGTTTGGTGATGCTAGGACAGTATATTGCTGTTTGGTGATGCTAGGACAGTATATTGAAGTTTGGTGATGCTAGGACAGTATATTGCTGTTTGGTGATTCTAGGACAGTATATTGCTGTTTGGTGATGCTAGGACAGTATATCCATTCCTCAATTCCGCAGCGGATTTTTAAGAATTAACAGCAAATTTAAGTAGATTCTGCATCCCATTTTTCAAAATTCTGCAAAACTTCTGCAGTTAAAAACCTGACAAAAACCCTGCAAAAAACGATAAAGATGATCAGAAACAATACTCTTACGTGTGTGATCAAGAAGGACATTACAAACACAACCAAATCACTTCCCACTGTCTTCATACAAATCTTTAGACAGACCTTTTGGCCTTTGCCTCAACATTTCCTAACTTTGAGCCTGTTTGACTTGGAACTTTGTGCACAAATTCATCCATAATGAGTGACTGAATAATAGTTACAAACAATCATTCACAACGATTTCTTTTCTAGCTCTAACGTTGCTGCAGACGAACAACTTCCTGTTTCATGTAAAAGTCTACTTAATACTAAAACGAAATCCGAATTCATTTTAATCTTCAAAAAGATTGATTTTGTCAAAGACGTATATACACATACGTATATACGTCTTTGATTTTGTGGACATAATTGCAGTGTCAAATTCAAGTAATATTATTGAAAGGTGCTTAAGAAAAGCTTACTCTATGAATAAAACATCTTTATTCGTGAATATTTTTAAAATGTCATAACAAATGTCTATGTTCGTTTTTGTGTAACCAATCATACTTTTGACATTTACCTCTTCTTTTCGGTTTGCTTGATATTCAATCTTGATTCAACTTTCAAAATAAGTAAATTCCGCAGCAGAAAAATGGCAAATTCTGCAGGTATCCTGCATGAAATCGGTTTCTGCTGACCAGATATTTTTTGCATCAAAAGGTAATTTCCATGATTTATTCTGCAACCGCGGATTCCAGGAGGGACTGGTATATTGCTGTTTGGTTATGCTAGGACTACAATGTTGTTTGATGATATTAGGACGATACAGTGTTGTTTGGTAATTCCAGGAAAATTCAGAGTTAGTTACTGATGTTTGGTTTGAAACAGTGTTGTTTAGTGATCTTAGAACAGTTAAATGGTGATTTGTGATCTCAGTGTTAAACAGTGTTGTTTAGTGATCTTAGAACAGTTAAATGGTGATTTGTGATCTCAGTGTTAAACAGTGTTGTTTAGTGATCTTAGAACAGTTAAATGGTGATTTGTGATCTCAGTGTTAAACAGTGTTGTTTAGTGATCTTAGAACAGTTAAATGGTGATTTGTGATCTCAGTGTTAAACAGTGTTGTTTAGTGATCTTAGAACAGTTAAATGGTGATTTGTGATCTCAGTGTTAAACAGTGTTGTTTAGCAACTGAAAGGCAAGTAAACAGCAAAAAAACACCCCAAAACACTTGCTGACTTCCTGTTAAATTAGAAAACTACAGGAAATATTTTCTTACTCATGTTGTGATAAATCATGACCTCTGAGGATTCCTCTGAAGGAAGAGAAGAGAAATTATCAGTGGCAGCATAAACTAACTTGATTGCTGAATGATTTTACCATTACTGCACTCCTGATGATCCTAACTTACAGACAGCTACAAACGATTTGGAACGAGTTCCATATTGTAACAAGCTTAGATAAATGTTGGAGTCTGTTGGAGATGACATTAATTATGTAACGCAGAGAGTAGACAAATATTGAGTTATTCTGCTGATGCTAGCAATTTATCAAGGTTACTGGCAGAATGTATCATATGACACTTTGATTGATGGTGAAGAAAAGCATTGATTTTTCTGTGCCTCCACATCTGACATCCTCCGTGTGTGGTAGCATCTCCCATTGTTGTGTATCCCTGGGGGCAGCGAGAGGGCAGCAGGGTTGCTGAGTCAGACGGACAGGACCAGTTTCACAAAGCTATCGTAACTCATAGACTTCAGAGCAGACTTATGACTTTCTTAGTACTAAAACCTCTTTGTGAAACATGCCCAAGGAATGTAAGCTGGTAGATGATACCTGGTGTAGTCTTTACAAGACTATTGGTACATGTTGCTCATGACATGATTACATTGTCTGTCCCTTCCCCATTATGTTGGATCAATGGAGGTGTAGCATTTTCATAGTTGGGTGATTTGGGAGAGGTGAAATATTGTGTGACACCAAGCTCTTGAATTTCTTTGATCATTTGGGATATTTGATATTGCTGGAATATTACTAAAACGGCGTAAAACCCAACTCACTCACTCACTCACTCACTCACTCACTCACTCACTCACTCCACTCCACCACTCACTCACTCACTCACTCTCTCACTCACTCACTCACCCACTCCTCACTCCTCACTCCTCACTCCTCACTCACTCACTCACTCCTCACTCCTCACTCCTCCCACTCCCACTCACCCACCCACCCACCCATGCCGCTGAATGAGTCTTTCCTTCTCTTTTGAAAATATTTCTCTTCAGAACAACAAAGCCAGCCACAGATGTCATGACTGTTTGTCTTCATATTAAAAACTAAATACATGTTTATATGTAAAAATGTATTAAAAACTTAAAATACATGTATTAATATATTAAGAACTAAATACATGTATAAATATGTAAAAAACTAAATACATGTATAAATATATAGAAGTGTAATTATGATGAAGTGTCAGATTGGTTCATGGCAAGAGAATGAAAAACTGAGTTGTGTTTTTTGCACCTAAGGAATAATTTTTAAATGAATTTACTCTGAATTAAGGTGAAGCATTATGTAACGGACAATTACCAGCTGAAAGTTCTTGTTTCTTTTCTGCATAATGACCTTCCGCAGTCTAGCCACTTTTTCCTATGTAGAGAAATGAAAGTAAAAAATGTTCTCCCAAAGATGTATATGCATGAACGTACATCTTTGGTTCTGCCAAATCTGAGGATGCTCTATATGAATATTTGTTCCATAACGCTGTTAACAAACATTATGTTTATGAAAGATTGTCCTTTTACAAGAAACATTTCACAGAAAATAAGTATGAAAGTCTTTAATGGTTCACAACTGCCAAACATGATTCGTTTGCTGAACATTTCACTGCACACAACTTTCAGCTGACCTAAATGTACCCAATAAGAGTTTCTGGTTTCTGTTGCTGTTCTGTTCTGATGAGGGATTCTAGAATGGACCCAGTCCACAAGGACCTGTCCTTGCCTTTAACAATGACTTGACAAATATATTTGAGAGATATGAAGTGTGGGTTGCTCTTGATCTGTCATTGCGTGAGAGAATTCTACTTGGTCATAGTGTGTGGCTGTGAGATGTGGCAGCTTGGTGGAGCACGTCACTGGCAGCCTGATGCAGATGTCTTCACTCCAGTCTGCTGGAGGTTGTTGTGGACTGCAGGCATGCAGCTGCAGAAACAGATTATGTCTGATAATCTCCGGTTGATGCTGACATCACAGCATACGTGTACAATCCACGGAGACTTTATCACCTTAAAGAGCCTAGGGACCATTCTCATCAGGTTACTTGTTGTTTGAAACAGTCAGATGCAAGACCACAGTAAGATTCAACAACAACCATAAACATGATGAGAGCTACATCAGCTGAAACACTATGCCAAGTCAATGGAGGTCAAGGGTCACTATATAGAGAATATTTCTAAGTATGTCATAAGACATAGATCATCATGATTATATTCTGACCCTTTTAAGTTTACTTTCATCACAAAGGTTTTTTTGCTTTTGCCTTTTTGCTTCTGTTTTATTTATTTTACATAAATTGACTCAATATGACCAGTTACTATAAAGTCGCTGTATTTACAGGAACACCAAGAGAAAATGTCTGAAAAGAAAAAGAAGAAGAAGAAGAAAGAAAAAAAGAAGAAAAAGAAGAAGCACAAAAAGCACCACAGTTCAAGTGGCAGCAGCTCTGACTCAGAGGATGAGGAAGACAAGTTGAAGAAGGTGAGTTGTCTGACAAGTACTGACAATCTTAAGATTTCAGAGGGAGGGCACTGTAACCTATTTCCACAAGCATATATGCCATTGTCTCTGTTTTTTTCTGTTCCAAAAAATGACATCATGTTTTGTGAGTGGGCTTGGTAGCTGTTCAGAATATTCTTGAATGTTTGTCTCTGATATTGAAAGTCATATTTACCATTAAGGTCACAAAGTCAGATATTTGGAATGCTCATCATATGTCGAGGATGTTGTACTTGAGTCAAGGTCAAGGATGTTGTACTTGAGTCTTGGTCAGGGAAGTGTGGCATGATGTCATCCTTTGTGTGTGGCCCAATAGTAAAAGGCAGGGGTCACCCAAATGATGAAGATCATTCATTTGTAATGCATGTGTGACATTTTCTCTGAAATGCTGTTTCTGCAAAATGTTTAAGAGTATTACACTTTATAGTGATTATTTCATTTAAATACTTAATAACGGAAGACCATCCCCTTATTATTGGAAATGTTTGCATGATGTATGCACTGGTAGGGTTGGCTTTGGATATAGATCATACAGATCGATCATCATTAAATAATAATTCTCGATAAATATTGAAGAAGTAACTTTGAGCAAAAATTACTGAAAAATCTGAAAGAAATCAACTCATTTAACGTCAGTGGTCAGTAACATATTTAGGCTTGGATTACTAACAATACACAGTCCTCAACATACTTTAGGAGCAGCCCATGAATAAACACCTAACTTTGTGTATTTTCTGAATAAATTTGAAAATGAATCTTTTGATCACTGGATTGTCTGGTCCAGACTTGATTATTTATAGACCGCCGCCATATAGCTAGAATATTGCTGAGTGCGCGTTAAACTAAACTCACTCACTCACTCTGAATAATAACTAGTATGATGTCAATGTCTTTTTGCATGTCTGAATGGAGTGGCTCCAAAATGTTGAACATTTATAGTGTGATGCACATTGAAGGTCATTCATTGTTGGTCTTAAACTGGTTTTATCATGGAAGGATATCTAAACATGGCGGTGAACATATGTTAAAGTGTTTCAAAAGAAGACATGGGTTGTTGATCTCATTACTTTCTCAGTTACACTTATCAAATTACATTATGTTGATACAACACTGACAATGTGCTGCTGTCCCTTCAAAAAGGAAATCTGATTGTGAGATATGACATTACCTTTGTGTTTAAAGCAAATTTTCAAGATTTTCAAGTTATTTTGAAAAAACCCAACATCACCAATTGCTTAATAAAATATTTTTAAAAAACAACCACTGAAAAGTTAAAGGACATTATACCAGAATTGACTGAGTGAGTGAGTTTAGTTTTATGCTGCTTTTAGCAATATTCCAGCAATATCACGACTGGGGACACCAGAAATCGGCTTCACACAATGTACCCATGTGAGGAATCGAAGCCAGGTCTTCGACATGACGAACGAACGATTTAACCACTAGGTTACCCCACCGCCCCTGTGTTTAAAGACAAATACCTAGTTGAAGATACTGGTCAGCTCTTTTCTCTCTGGTCCATTGCAGTGTTAGAAGGGGAAGAAGATGCCCTTCTCAAGGGTTCCATACTACAAAGCAAAATAAGTGTTATGATGATCATAAGCCAAGGTTAAACTTTGGGAGTTAGGATCATCATCACTGATCCTAGTCCTAAGATCGCTCACCACAATAATCCCTGGAAGTTTGGTGGTATGCTTGTCGTAAGAGGCGACTAACGGGGTCGGGTGGTCAGGCTCGCTGACTTGGTTGACACATGTCATCGGTTCCCAATTGCGCAGATCGATGCTCATGCTGTTGATCACTGGATTGTCTGGTCCAGACTCGATTATTTACAGACCGCCACCATATAGCTGGAATATTGCTGTGTTGTATGATGAAAAGGACCTTGACTTGACGGGCTTCAAAACAGCAGAGCATTTTCATCAGGAGTAGGAGGAATAATTCCCTTTTCCCTTGTGTATGTTTACAGTCATGATTCATGGTGAAATCATGCCTTTCCTAACACATTTATTTGTATATATCAAATAACTGGCATCTCATCAGATACTACTGATAATTAGCTTTCATTACTCTATAATGGTTTTTCCATCACAGTTGAAAGCACAGCTTAATGGTGTATGAATGGACAACTGTTTCCACAAATCCTCTCTATTTAGATAGGACAAGCTGGCAACCACAGATGAACAATACAACATCTGTCTCACGCTAATGTGGACACAAATTAAAATATTTATATGCAGTGATTATCATGTGAATTCTGACACATCAGACAGACTTATACCCTAAATAACTTAAAATAAGAATTTATCCCCTTTTACCTTCTTTGTCCCCTGTTTTTATTGCAAGTATTGCTAAAAGCGGCGATAAAACTGCAGTTCGCATTATGTAATTTATGTTGGGTTGTGTAATTTTCATGTAACATATAGTGTAACATGTGTACACTAAGATCACTTGTAAAACATTCTAGTGTGTGAACCCGTGAAGATCCGGGTTAGAACTGATCTTCAGTACCACCCATGCTTGTCGTAAGAGGTGACTAACAGGATCGGGTGGTCAGACTCACTGACTTAAATACCAATTGAGTAGAACGATGCTGATGATGTTGATCACTGGATTGTCTGGTCCAGACTCGATTATTTACAGACCGATGCCATATAGCTGGAATTTTGCTTCATTTGGCATAAAACTAAACTCGCACACTTCTAGTGTATGCTGTGTGAGTCAGTATCGCGTCACTGGATGAAAATGAAGTGGAACTTGCTATCTGGGTTGTTGTTAGCCGGTTTAATTGGAGTCTGACATTTGATATTCACATGACCATAACCAACAAATCCTTATGTATATGTGTGCTCAATCTGCACTCAAGGGAGTTGTGAACCTGAAATATAGGGGATTATACACATGTAGTACTGGGTTCTCAATCATTGATGCTATGTTTACGACGTCACAGATTCTAAATGGTCAGAAACAGAGTTGTCTTGTTCCTCAGATTTGGCCTGACAGCTGTTTTCACACATGATGAAGTAAAGTTTATACCAAGATAGCATTGAATGGATCTATATGACATATCTGGCACAATTTCATCGACACACATTGACCTTTCACATGTAGTTATCTGAGCCAAACTTTATCTGTAATGTAGCTTTACTTTTGTGTCAACACATTTGAGACCATTCATAATTTATGGCTGTGGGGGTGATGATGATTATTTTGGAGAAGCATGTACAATGTGAATGACCCCCCTAATATTTATGCACAAATTAAGTGCCCCCCCCCCCTGCATGGCATGTTCAAATTCAATTACCCTCTCTCTCCCCCTTCCTTTCCCATTATTTTCGAGCATAATTTTTTAATATTTCAATGTACAAAATTGATGACCCCCCTACCTCCCCCTCTCCTCTTTAAATCATCATCACCCCCCACGCTGTTGAAGATTTTCTTGACATCATTGCAGCTTAGAGTGTGACCTCATAAGACTTCACATTTGAAATTAGTGTTTGGTTGACAGCTTGGAAATGACCAGCTGTTTTATGGGGTGGAAGTTTAGTGCAATCACAAGAATGGCATACAAGCCATATGACAGTTTCCATACTCATCAGTGTTCTACCATAGGTACAAAGGGCATAACACAGCATAATTTCATAGGATGATAATAACAGAACATTAACTTTCAAATCTCTGCAAGTGTATATCTGTCTGTATCTGTCTGGAGTGATCTGTCTGGAGAACGAATGGTTTCTTCCCCTGGCTATCTCATACCAAAAGACTTCCGTAGATGGTGCTTGTTACCATGCCTTACAATCAGTATTACTTTGATAAGACACCCGTGAAGGTCCGGGTTAGAATATTGATCTTCAGTAGCCCATGCTTGTTGTAAGAGGCGACTAACGGGATCGGGTGGTCAGGCTCGCTGACTTGGTTGACACATGTCATCGGTTCCGCAATTGCACAGATCGATGCTCATGCTGTTGATCACTGGATTGTCTGGTCCAGACGCGATTATTTACAGACCGCCGCCATATAGCTAGAATATTGCTAAGTGCGGCGTGAAACTAAACTCACTCACTCACTTTGATAAGACAAGTACTAGCTGACCCTGAGTCACATGTCAAACATGATGTTAAAAATCATGTCACGTCATTACACCTCTGTGTACTAGGTGCATTGTAAATAAATATTGCACAGTTTGCATTTTTTAAGGATTACAATCAAAATATTATGTGTAATTAAGGAATATCAATGACAGAATTTATTCCATGTAGAAGATCATTGAGGTGCAGTCATGCTTGAAATAAAACATATAATTTCACAATATTGATTTTTGAACAGGTGTATCACATGGTGAAATGATGACTCATCTTAGATGAGATGTTGTAGTGAGGTTAACTTATATTTGCCCCTTATATCTTCAGTAACTGCAATGTACTGTATTCTTGTGTAAAAAGATGTGGGTCCAACTCAGTCAAAACATTTTCTTTGTTAAACTGGTTGAAAAACATGCCCAAGTGCACAATAGTTTACTACTGACTGATTGACTGACTGACAATCTTTTCTGTACACCTCTTGCAACCTCTTTGAGGTACAGTCAAGTACCCCTCCTAGGTCACATGATCACTTTGTCTAAAATTAATTTGACCATTTGGCTTCTACTTTCCCATATCTGACATATATTTAAGGGATCATTCATTATTTATGGCAAGGGGGTTGGTGATGATGATTTAAGGGGAGGTCAGCTATTATGTTCTGGGGAGGTGTGTGTGTGTGGGGGTCATGGATTTTGTACACATATACAAGGTGGGTGTCATTGATTTACAGACATGAAGGAGGGGGCTTTTACGCTGTACATAAATCTTAGTGTGTGTGTGTTATTCACATTGTGTGTGCTTCACCATAAACATCATCACCATAAACATCATCATCGCTCCTTAGCCATATATTATGAACGGTTCCTAAGTTTCAAGTTTGGCTGTTGTGACAGTACACATTCTCATCCAAGCTGAAATTGACAGCCTATGGATTGTTCTGGGTTTCCCAGAGTCAAGAGGAGTCTTCTGTATTGTTTGACATCTCGCTACATTGTCAGCTTAGATCTAATACCTTTCTAAAGCAACTGATTGCAATAGTTGTCAGTACCACTGAGGGACTATGCTGTTGTTAAGTTCTATATATGGACCTGCTTTCCATGGAAATCTCAGTGTTGCTGAAGGAGCATGGCAGGCATCTGTTTGGCTATTCACTTTGAAGAGTTGCCTCCCCTGTAGACATGTCAGTTTTAAATTATGGGTTTGAAACCCAGAATTGTCCGAGTTGATTTTAGATTTGACAGCAGGGCTTGTGTGCTTCCAAGGTGGTAACGTTAATGCCCTTCATCACTTCTCCAACACTAACCTGACTGGAGCTGTATCAGCTGATGTCAGCTGTTGTCAGCTGTAGATGTCAATTAGATCACGCTGCTATATATGAGTCTATAGTTTACTGCATGTGACTCTCATGTGTGGGTCACATCACAGTACCAGAGGCTGGAACCCCAAGAAATATATGAGTCTATAGTTTACTGCATGTGACTCTCATGTGTGGGTCACATCACAGTACCAGAGGCTGGAACCCCAAGAAATATATGAGTCTATAGTTTACTGCATGTGACTCTCATGTGTGGGTCACATCACAGTACCAGAGGCTGGAACCCCAAGAAATATATGAGTCTATAGTTTCTGTGTGTGCATGTATGACTTAACTCCAGTGACTGTGTGGGTCACATCACAGTACCAGAGGCTGGAACCCCAAGAAATATATGAGTCTATAGTTTACTGCATGTGACTCTATGATGTTAACCCAGTGACTCTCATGTGTGGGTCACATCACAGTACCAGAGGCTGGAACCCCAAGAAATATATGAGTCTATAGTTTACTGCATGTGAATCTATGATGTTAACCCAGTGACTTCATGTGTGGGTCCACATCACAGTGTGACTCTATGATGTTAACCACAGTGACTCTCTATAGTGTGGTGACTCTACGATGTTAACCCAGTGACTCTCATGTGTGGGTCACATCACAGTACCAGAGGCTGGAACCCCAAGAAATATATGAGTCTTTAGTTTACTGCATGTGACTCTCATGTGTGGGTCACATCACAGTACCAGAGGCTGTAACCCCAAGAAATATATGAGTCTATAGTTTACTGCATGTGACTCTCATGTGTGGGTCACATCACAGTACCAGAGGCTGGAACCCCAAGAAATATATGAGTCTATAGTTTACTGCATGTGACTCTATGATGTTAACCCAGTGACTCTCATGTGTGGGTCACATCACAGTACCAGAGGCTGGAACCCCAAGAAATATATGAGTCTTTAGTTTACTGCATGTGACTCTCATGTGTGGGTCACATCACAGTACCAGAGGCTGTGGGTCTATAGTTTACTGCATGTGACTCTATGATGTTAACCCAGTGTACATCACAGTAGGCTGGAACCCCAAGAAATATATGAGTCTATAGTTTACTGCAAGTAAATCTATGATGTTAACCCAGTGACTCTCATGTGTGGGTCACATCACAGTACCAGAGGCTGGAACCCCAAGAAATATATGAGTCTATAGTTTACTGCAAGTAAATCTATGATGTTAACCCAGTGACTCTCATGTGTGGGTCACATCACAGTACCAGAGGCTGGAACCCCAAGAAATATATGAGTCTATAGTTTACTGCAAAGTAGTGAAATCTATGATGTTAACCCAGTGACTCTCATGTGTGGGTCACATCACAGTACCAGAGGCTGGAACCCCAAGAAATATATGAGTCTATAGTTTACTGCAAGTAAATCTATGATGTTAACCCAGTGACTCTCATGTGTGGGTCACATCACAGTACCAGAGGCTGGAACCCCAAGAAATATATGAGTCTATAGTTTACTGCAAGTAAATCTATGATGTTAACCCAGTGACTCTCATGTGTGGGTCACATCACAGTACCAGAGGCTGACTGCTCTTCATACCCGGGGCAAATTTGGCTTTGTTGTTGGGAGATGAAATATCTCATTGCTAACATCTATCACAGAAGGCTTTACTTTTAAACTCCTCACCTCAGCAAATTTAGCTCAGGTATAGCCCCTTTGCTGGTCGTTTTCATTAGTAGAGTATTTTAGGTGAAATTTTTCAGGCTTCTAAAAATCTCACTTGCCAACATGGCATGATAGCAATATTTACATCTACCAGGTCACTGTCCTAAAGCTGAGCAGTCAACTGTTATTTCTAGTGGTCTTTTGACAAAAGAACCCAAATTCAGTCAGCTAGATAGCCCTCTTCTATTTCTGCAGGCCTCTTGGACTAAGGACCACCAATCCAGTCAGCACATTCTTTGACCGAGTTTTAAGTGCACTCAGTAAGTTTTCATTCTTTGTCTCCAGGCATTACAACGTGAGATGGAGCACCAGCGCAGTGCGGATCGGCTGCTGGCCATGGATGAGCGGAAGCGGCCCTACAACAGCATGTATGATGCAAAGGCTCCCACAGAGGATGAGCTGGAGGCGTGGAAGATGAAGAGGCAGCGAGAGGAGGACCCCATGGCAGCATTCTTGTGATTGCTAATGCACTTGTTGTAGCTTAAAGGAATCTGTTGTAGAAGGACTTAGCAGGTGTCAGTATTTCTGATCTGATCAGCTTCATGGGGACCTTGTCATGAATGTAAAGGAATCCCTGACAATGGGGTGTGTGAACAGTGTTGGAGCTGTTGCAGGAGGACTTGGCAGGTGTCAGTATTTCTGATCTGATCAGCTTCATGGGGACCTTGTCATGAATGTAAAGGAATCCCTGACAATGGGGTGTGTGAACAGTGTTGGAGCTGTTGCAGGAGATGTCATGCAGATGTTGGATAAGGGGTAGATGGGAATCGGTTTTATTTTGATAAATTCTTACTTTGGTGATGCTAATGCACAATTATTAGTGACTAAACCATGTTTATGTCATCCATTAATTTACTTTGTTAGGATGTATTTCAGATTGTTGGTACTGAATTTTGAAAACTGCATACACTGTGTGTAAACTTCAGATGGCTTCATGATTTGTCAGTGGTGTTACCAACATTACTTAATAAAGCATCTGACATTTGGCAGTGTTTTTGCTACAGACTGAAAGTAGTAAATGGAGATATAAGGGAATCTAGAGATCGATATAAAGCTGTCACAACATTAAAGTTTTCAACTTCATCAATAAAGATACATTTCTGATGTAATATACACTTTGAAATGCCTACAGAGATGAAAAATGTTACTTTACCAATATTTCTGTCAAGTAACCCCTTTACTGTAAGTTAATGAGTTTGAAAGCCTTAACAAACAAACGGGTTGTGAAATTCTATTCCTAATTAAATATATTAAACACAAAGTTCTTCCAAGGAAAAACTGTCAATAAAGTAATTTATACCTTTGTACACCATCTGCTCTCTGAACAAGTGACATATGGCAAGCAGGTGACACTTTTCTAAATTGAAAACATACCACTGCCCAGCAGTTATCCACCTTTGTAACCACTGCATGCAACCCATGAAAAAATTACCTTGCTGTTAACTGTAGCAATTCTTGGACAAAGCCACAAAAACAGATCATGTTGGCCTAACAACAAATGTTGTTTTGTTGTAAGAGTTTCACAAATGATCTTAAATTTGCCTCACTTTATACTCCTTGAAAATAACAGCCAGGAATGTTATGAGGTTGAAATGACAAGATTTGCAACCCTTGAAAGTTCCCTGCTTGAAGCGAACCATCTGCCATACTGACAATCGTGGCAACTGGATTTGGTTATAAATACTTGCTGGTGCTTCAGGGCTGTTGACAATGGCAATGTTTGAATGTCAGGTGAACATTAACCAGCCTCTATGCCAGGAGGGATGTCAGCAACATCATTGATGTTGTTGTAATGCCAAGGAATGTCACCTCCAATTTGTTTTGTGTTCCTGTAATAGATGTTTAGATCCTGACTGTTCCAGTGTTCAGTTGTTAAACGGGATATGCTCTGAACCAAGAAATGTCACCTCCAACTTGTTTTGTGTTCCTGTAATAGATGTTTAGATCCTGACTGTTCCAGTGTTCAGTTGTTAAACGGGATATGCTCTGAACCAAGATATGTCACCTCCAACTTGTTTTGTGTTCCTGTAATAGATGTTTAGATCCTGACTGTTCCAGTGTTCAGTTGTTAAACGGGATATGCTCTGAACCAAGAAATGTCACCTCCAACTTGTTTTGTGTTCCTGTAATAGATGTTTAGATCCTGACTGTTCCAGTGTTCAGTTGTTAAACGATATGCTCTGATATAAGCACCTCTGTTTTGTGTTCCTGTAACCAATGTTTAGATCCTGACTGTTCCAGTGTTCAGTTGTTAAACGGGATATGCTCTGAACCATGATATCGTGACCATTGTGTTGATTATATATGACAGCATGAAAGTGTTTCCTTTATAAGGGCAAACTTTATGGATGAACAACTTCTTTATACAGGTGATGTGATGTTTTGATACAGATTCTTGTATTGTTGCCAAGCAAATATGATACAAGAATCTGTATCAAAACGTCACAACACCTGTATAAAGAAGTTGTACATCTATAAAGTTTGTCCTTATCTGACTCTCCACTTCTAAAAATGCCACTCAAAGAAGTGTTTGTTTTGTGTTTCTTCTCTACTGGTTTATGCTTCATTCAGCAAAGTTCCAGCTATGTGACACTAAATTAGAGTCAGTACAAGAAAATAACAATTGTTTTTTTTTATGAGCAATGATACTTGGGCATGAAAACAAGCATGACCACACTGACGGGATCGGGTGGTCAGGCTTGGTTGACACATGTCATCGTATCCAAATTTTGTAGATCGATGCTCATACTGTTGATCACTGGATTGTCTGGTCCAGACTCAATTCTTTACAGACCGACGTCAAATAGCTGGAATATTGCTGAGTGCGATGTAAAACTAAACTAAACTCACTCACTCACGCACTCACCTTCAGACAGCCACTATACCTTCCACAAGTAGCAGTTTTCAAACATGTCACTCTTGTTTCAATCAGATGCTGCAGGAAAAGTCATTTGTGTTTCATCTGTGTTTCTTTAGTCACAGAATTTGAACAGAATAGAGTTGTTTCATAACATATGATGTTGTTACTCTGCTGGAGTCAAGCCAGCACTCCTAGCATGTTTTAAAATTCATGGTTATTTCATTATATTAGTCATACAGTATCATGTCAACACAATGTGCGTCCATAATACTTCATCTGAGAATGTACATATGATGTATATATAATGTGAATAAAATTTTATATTTGTGACAGGTTTTCGTTTTTCATGATAAGCTGTTGTTCACAGATGTGGTTGATGCCATGTTTATCATTCTGGTGTTAGCTCACCTGTACTTAGTTGTTGTCAAGGTTGTTACTTTATCCTTGGGGTTTCCTGGTCAGAATAGATCCACAGGACCCAGTGCTATTTGCAAGAGGTGACAGGAATGTGAATCCATTGGCCACACCCTGACTGATATTGTGTCCACGTACAGTAAGCTATGTTTCTAACGAACTCCATATAGAACTGACAGATATAACAAACCTTTTTTTTCAAAAGGTATGTAAATAGAAGAGACAAACCCTTTCCACATCCACAAGAAATCTTGATTGTATGTTTGTTGTTTAATGCCGCACTCGACAATATTCCAGCTATATGGTGGGGGTCTGTAAATCTGACCACACAATCCAGTGATTAACATCATGAGCATTGATCTACACAATTGGGATACATGGTAGTGTCAACCAAGTCCACGAGCATGACCACCTGATCCCGTTAGTCACCTCTTACGACAAGCATGGGTTGCTGAAGACCAATTCTAACTGGGATCTAAACATACTACTTTATAACCAATGTAAATTAGTGGTCCCATTGAGTCTGTTATAACCATAGTTTACTGAACTTGTTCTGTTTGTATGCAGTGTAGCTCAGGAAGAACCCATTAGTAAGGTAAAATGTAATGAACCAGTCATTTCAATTTATGTTTTCATATAGGCCTGATTCTGGAAAAAAAATGTATGCTTGTATATGTGAACTGCAAATGTGAAAATCGTGTTTCTCACAGATGAAACTATCTTAACGTTTGCTCTTAACATAAATGAACATTAGATTGATGGCATGTGTTTAAGGATCATCCCCCTATGTCATCGTATCCCAGCATAGACTGACCCTCCTGATGTCAGTCACTAGAGTTTCAGGTCCAGACCGATTATTTACAAACTGCAGTCATATAGCCTAAATATTGAAGTATGGCATTAAACAAACTTACAAAGGTTCAGTTACTTGTGGTATGTTGAGATAGGTGTGATAGGTATATGCCCGTGTGCTATAGAACTTTATCCAGCATATATTTGATATCCTCTTTCTGTGTGTTATGACATGTTTGTCAGGTATAAAGTTTTGATTGTCATTCTTGAAGTTATTTATTCTAGCGGGAGGAATGGAAACGTATTCATTTACACAGGTAGCATGTATACATGCTGGATGAAGGTTCTAAATTTGCAATGAAAGTCAGCTACACAAGCCTCCATCTGTTTGCCATTGTGAGTTTCAGCCATGGTAATATAGGCAGTAAACTGTAGACAGATAGTTGGTGTCAGCAGCTGTACAGGGACAGGTTCAGATGATGTGTCAACAGGGTCTGCAGCTCACCTGATACCAATAAAGTTGGAAGGGCAGCGACCAAGCTGTTATTGTATGGATTGTAGCGAGATTAAGTTGAATGTAACGTTTATGATAGCATTTTTCAAAGTGCAAGATGCACAGTATCAATGCAGTAACTCTCATGCAAGCGTCCGTGCACACACACGCACACACACATGTTTGTATGTATGCAATTAGGGACCATTAGGGTGTTGATGATTTTTATGAAGAAGCATGTACAATGTGACTGACCCCCTGCCCCCCAAATGTCTGTACAAAGTAAGTGATCCCTGCATGTCATGTACAATCAATGAAACACACACACACAGAGGATATTTTTTTCAGATTTTTATGCACAAAATTACTGACCCCCTTAAAATCAACATCACATGTTCGATTCCCCACATGGGTACAATGTGTGAAGCCCGTGTTCTGGTGATATTGCCGGAATCTTGCTAAAAAGCGGAGTAAAACTAACCTCACTCACTCACTGCCCTCACAGGATCCATGTTACTGCCTTACCAAGTCAGCTTAAATCCAGAAAAACACAATGAAATCAGGCGTCAAAGGCTGAAAAGAATCCTGACAGAATAGTGTCAAAATTATTGAAGGTTGATATGAAATGAGACAGCAGAGATCACTCAGCGATTTTCTCATCATTGATGGGTTAATATATAATCTACTTTCCAAAATGATTATGATTTAAACGGCAAATCTGCACACTTCTGGCTCTTTTTCAAAGGTTTGAGGTTTAGTCGAGGTAAAGAATGCCATAGTGATTTTCCTTATGTGTTTTTGATCTTAATGTACTGCTTGGTAAATGTGTTGAGGTGACAGCGATTAAGAAGTGAAGAGAAATAATCTCGTTTGATCTTACAATATGAGAGCGAATCCTTCGAAAAGACTGCAATCTTGAAAGCTAACTGTCCTTTGTTATTGGATCCAATTCTCAGGCATTGTCACACTGAATTTATTGGACTTCAAAGCGCCACAGGGGCAAGGTCAAGGACCGTTCCATGCTGGTAAATGGTTGTTCCCGTTACACCTCACTTATCTTAGATCACTTCCTTCATCCCACAACAGCCTCGGCGGCAAGTGCAATGGAGTTCCGGGTTTTGCATGGGGTATATGGGAGTGAGTGAGTTTAGTTTTACCAGGGATAATCTACAGCGCGTTTCTATTCTCCCTGGTTTTACGCAGCACTTAGCAATATTCCAGCTATATGGCGGCGGTCTGTAAATAATCGAGTCTGGACTAGACAATCCAGTGATCAACAGCATGAGCATCGATCTACGTAACTGGGATACGATGACATGTATTAACCAAGACAGCGAGCCGGACCACCCGATCCTGTTAGTTGCCTCTTACGACAAGCATGGGTTGCTGAAGATCAATTCTAACCCGGATCTTCACGTGTCGTATC